GCAGTGGCCAGGAGCGGCCACTGCACTCCAGTCTGAGCGACAGAGTGAGACTCCAACTCATTTAAAAAAATAACAAAACAAAACAACAAAAACCCCCACTATACCAGATCCTTGAAAACCAGGCCCAGATGGGCATGAAGATGTCAAGTGCATGTGTGTGTTTCACAGCTAGACAAAAATTCCTTGAGTCTACCTTCTTCATTCAATATCTCGGATAGGTAAGGCCTTTTGCCTGAGGGATACTAGGGCTTCAGGTATCCCAGACTCCCCTGACATCCTTGAGGCCAGAAACTCATTCCATTGAGAACTCATGAGGCGAAGTCAGTTCGACCTTGTGAAGCAGGGGCCTGCCTTCAGACCTCATTTCTTTTTTCACCCCTGTCCCATACTCCTCCTCCAAAGGTCCTCCCAGGGATCCGACTCAGGAAGAGCCAGTGAGGCAAAAATCTAGAATCATATTCCTGGAGAGGGGAGAGAGTGAACCGGCGGGTAAGGAAAGTTGTTATGCCTGGAGTCTAGGCAGGCCCTGGGCAGAGACTCTGGAGTTAACAGCGGTGCCCCAGAGAGAGCTACCTCAGCCTCTGGGCTCCCAGTGAGGAAGGCAGGGCTTTCCGTAGACCATTTGTCCCAAGAAATTCTTCAAAGCTTCCTGACACATTTTCAATGTATTTGGAACTTTCCTAGCAAGGGGTACTCAGGAGAATTATCCTCCCCACCCCCATTTTCATTCTCCCTCTGGATCAACTCCTTGTGCTGGCATTGAGCACTGCAATTTATTTTATTCATGTAGAGTGTATCATTTATGCAGGTCGATGGAAGAAACATCTTCAGGCTGGGTACTCATGCCTCACCTCTTCCCTTGCCAAGCAAGATTGAGTTGGGGTGGTGAGGGAAGCAGAGGAAAGGTGTCTGGGCACTGAGGTGGCAGGTCTTTGGGCCGGCTGGGGTGGGAGGAGGTCTGGTCTTTACCTGGCGAAGTTGCAACTGCCCCTGTTCTCTTACTCAGGCTCCGAGGTATCCATCGTGCCCAGCCCTGTCCTTGTCTTTGATCTTGGAGATGAAAATCAACAACCTATTGGTGGACTGAGGGCTTTGGACTCCTGGAAATTGTGAGTCCCTCTCTGAAACACTGTTGCCCCCTGGGTTGCTCTATCTGGGTGAGTGTTCTGGATGATGGGGTCGTGTGAAGGACCCAGGGAAGGGTCACTAGGGCAACTGAGCACCAACTGACCCCCAGAAATCATGGTCCTGTAGCATTGTGAGCTTTCTGGGAGGGCACAAAGCCATGGCTATTGGCCTCAGTACTGCTAATAAGAGACATTTATAAGACCAGGATATCTAGATGAGGAAATGAAACTTCTGTGGACACTGGAGACACTGTGGGAAGAGACAAATCATTTCCTTTGAATAAGAGGTGGAAAGGGAAACATAGCAGAGATCCGGTCTGATTCTGTAAAGAGAAAAAAAAGATTTCCTTAAAATGGCCTCCAGAATTTTAAAAATGTGGTACATATACACAATGGAGTATTACGCAGCCATAAAGAACAACAAAATTCCAGAGCTTCTTGGGAGAGTCTGAACCCAAGCTGAACTTTGCTAAAGAGTGACATGAAGGACAGGCTCATGTCTGCAATCCCAGTAACTTTGGGAGGCTGAAGCAGGAGGATTGCTGGAGCCCAGGAGTTCAAGACCAGCCTGGGCAGCATGGTAAGACCTCGTCTCTACAAAAATATCAAAAGATTACCCAGGCATGGTGGTGCAGGCCTGCAGTCCCAGCTACTTGAAAGGCTGAGGCAGAAGGATCGCCTGAGCCCGGGAGGCGACAGAATGATACTTCTGCACACACACACACAAAAAGACACGAAGAAGCATCTGGTGTCAGAGCTAGTCAACAAGCTTCAGCTGAGGGGCGAAGCTCTCCCTGTTCTCAGGTTCCCTGCTCACTTCAACTCCAAGCTGGTGCTGAGTGTCTACAAGGACACAGGGCTCACTACAGCCCCAAGCAGGTGAGTGCTGGTGCATTACAGGGATGTGCCAGGATCTTGGTGGGAGAGGAGCCAATAGACCTGGTCCTAATCTTCAGGGAGACTCCAGTAGAAGAGAGAGGGATAAAGCCCCTGCCCTCAGAGAGACCCTAGTCTGATGGCAGAGACATAGTTCCATGCCACTAGAGAGTCCTTAGTATGGTTGGGCAGATAAAAGGAACAAAACAGAATACTATGTTTGACATTTTCTTCTAAGAGGTTTTTTTTTCAACGGTCAATGCAGGAAGCACTCTATCACGCCTTCTTATATAACTATCTCTTCCTTCATGTGGCTTCTGATCATTATGATTTCATTTAACAGTTGCATTTGAATATACATTTTCATTATAATCTACATCACCCTGCCTTTTTTTTTTTTTTTTTTTGAGTTGGGGTTTCACTTTGTTGCCCAGGCTGGAGTGAGTGGTCGATCATAATTCACTGTAGCCTCAAACTGGGCTCAAGTGATCCTCCTGCCTCAGCCTCCCAAAATGCTGGGTTTATAGGAGTGAGCCACTCCATCCAGCCCTCTTTTTAATTAGTAGGAATGTAAATAGCAATCAAGACCTATCTTTACTTAAAATTCCAGTACCAAAAAATCCTGAGCCCAGTGCTGAAGACAGTGGGGGGTAGGATGAAACTCTATAAGGATCAGGGAGCTTTGCTCCAACACCAGGCCCACAGGTCAGGGCTGGCTGTAACAGCCTCCCCTGCCCGGGCATGGGTCTAGATGTAAAACAGTCCTTACTCCCCACACCTGAGATACTTGTTCAAAAGACAAACCCCAAGGCCTCTTATGTCAAAATTTCCAGGGGGTTTGACCTGGATAACTATAGGCTTCAACAAGGGCCCCTACACGATTCTTATCATCAGGAAAGTTTGGGAAACACAAGGCCCCGTTCTTCTTCTAACACGATGAGAGGACTATCAGAATCAACTAAAGGAGCTTCATAAAATGCAGATTCCTGTGCCTTCCACCCAGGACCTACTGAATCAGAATTTCTGGGAGTAAGCCCTGCATTTTTACAAGCATCCAAGGGAATGCCTGTGGGCTGAGGCTTCCTCATAGGTCCTCCTGCAATGTGAGTGACTGGTCACAAGAGGGCCAGGTCAGAGAGGCTGGTCACAGTCAGCTTTAGAAGGCAGGGGTGAGGCAGCACAGACACCCCTGCTCCATGCAACATTGTGTTGCAGTGTTTTCCTATACTTTTCCATACGACCTTTCTGCAGAAGTGCTGAAGTTCTCTCAGAGAGCTTCTTACTGCCTCCTTGGTCCTTCCATACAGTGGAATCAAAGCTTCTCACAAGTCTTTGGTTCCACATCTTCTCACCCTCCACTGTCCTGTTGTTCTCATCCTGCCATTTCAGGGCCGGCCTTTAGGACAAACGACCTAGGCCTGGGCCAGGCCAGCACAGCTTAAAGAGTGTGAAAATTAGCCCCTCATGGTTGACATAATTCTGCTTCTGGGGCCTGCATATGTGACTATCTCAATTTTAGCCATAAATAGAAGACAAGGCAAATATACCTTGCTGTGGGGGTGGATTGGTCATATCAGAAATACACATAGCGGGGGGGGGTCACATTTAATAGCGGCAAGTCTTCATTGTCTAATTACCTGCGTGTCTTTATCAGTCCATCCATCCTCTCACCTAGCCAACATCCCAGAAAAATATAGAGAACGCCTGCCAAATGCATTAAGGGAATTTGGGCAGACCCACCTAGTTCCTCTCACATCCTTTTTGGTCGGAGATCAGGCAATGGCTGTATGTGTCTTGATCCTGTGTATATAAGTCCCTCATAGCACCTGTCCGGCTTCTGCCAGGCCTTGGATCCAGTCGGGCGGAAGTGGCAACCAGTAGATCCCTTAGAGAAATATCATAGCTCTGAGGACTCCGCAAGAGGAGGAGGGAGGGCATGTCCAGTTGCCTCTTCTCACCAGAGCTGTGGCTGTGGGGGTAGCACACCCTGGGCAGGGAAGGATTCTCTGAAAAGGCAAGGTCATGGGCATCAACAATTTGTGCTGCTGGGTTCAGCACAAATTCCTGGTGAAGGCCACCTCCCACTGGGGTCCCTTGCCTAGAACTGGCTGAAGCTCTCTGATTCAGAATCAGCCACTGCTCCCTTCCTCCAAATAGTTTTTCTTCCCTGTTTTTTCTTTTCTTCCAAGTTGGAGTCTCACTCTGTCGCCCAGACTAGAGTGCAGTGGCTACTCTCGGCCACCGCAGCCTCGACCTGCTAGGCTCCGGCGATCCTTCCCACCTCGGCCTTCCAAGTAGCTGGAACTATAGGCGCGTGCTACCACGCCAGGCTAATTTTTGATTTATTGTAGAGATGAGGTCTCGCCAAGTTGCCCGGGTGGGTCTTTAACTCACGGGCTCAGGCAGTCCACTTACCTCAGCTTCCCAAAGCGCGGGATTACAGGCTGAGCCCCCGAACCCGGCTCTGTTTTTTCATATTTAGTGTCCCTAACTGGTACAGACTCAGCCAAATGAACCTCCCCGAATGAGAACCAGGAAATGAAGCAGGGACTTAGACATAGAGTTCTATTTTCTCTTTTTTAATCTTCCCAGTCAGACTGGAGACTCCTGAAGGACATGGACTATGTCTCCACCATCAGACTGAGGTCTCCTTGAGGGCAGGGGCTATATTTCCCCTCCCCAGAATGAGGCTCCTCAAAGATCAGGATTGGTTCGTTGGTCCCTCTGCCCCCTAAGCTCCTGGCACTCACGTGACTGGTTACTCAGCACCCGCATGGAGTTGGAGTGAGCTGGGAACAAGGAGAGCTTCGCCCTCAGCTGAACCTTGGTAAATAACTCCGACGTCAGATGCTGCTTCTTCACGTCACGCTTCAGCAAAGTCCAGCTCGGATTCTGACCCCCCAAGAAGCTCTGGGATTTTGTAGGCAGAGAAAACTTTAATATTTTCTCCTGGATGAGCTGTTGGGGGATCAGCTGCTGCTTGAATTTGAAGGGGACTACCCCGTCCATCTCTGGGCTACTGCACTCAGATCCAGTGGTCATGGTCAGGGTTGGCAGAGACTCTGGGGAGGTTTTGACCTGGGTGATGGATTCTGGGGAGGTTTCTGCTGAGATAAATGGCTGGAAGAGAAGACAGTCCAAAATGAGGTTGTGGAAAGCATAGGGCTCCTTCCTATACTGTTCTTTATTAAAACAGATTAAAAGCTGGGCTCATTAGCTGCAAGAAAGATTAGGTTAGAATAGTTTCCTGGTTGAGTGTGGTGGCTCATGCCTATAATCCTAAAGTGTGAGACCAAAGTGGGAGGATCACTTAAATCCAGGAATTTGGAACCAGCCTTGGCAACAAAGCAAGACCCCGCTTCTGCAAAAAATGTAAAAATTAGCTGCGTGCGATGGTGTGCCCCTGTAGTCCCAGCTACTTGGGAAGCTAAGGAGGGAGGATGGCTTGAGCCCAGGAGTTCAAGGCTGCAGTAAGCTGTGATTGTGCCATTGCAGTCCAGGCTGGGTGACAGAGGGATACTCTGTCTCAAAAAAAAAAAAAAAAAAAGAAGAAGAAGAAGAAAGAGGTCAGGCTCAGAGGCTCTGCTTGTAATCCCAGCACTTTGGGAGACCAAGGTGAGTGAATTGCCTGAGCCCGCAGGTTCTAGATCAACTCAGGCAACTTGATGAGACCTCATCTCTACAATAAATAAAAAATTAGCCGGGCATTGGTAGCGCACCTGTAGTTCCAGCTTGAAAGGCTGAGGCGGAGGGATTGCCGGAACCCAGCAGGTTGACACTGGGGTGACTGTGAGTGTGCCACTGCACTCCAGCCTGGGCAACAGAGTGAGACTCCAACTCAAAAAAAAAAAAAAAGGCAAGGAAGAAAGAAAGAAAAAATAGTTTCCTAACCATGAATTGGTTAAACACTAAGGCAAAGATGGTAGAGGGGCCTATGACTTCCTCTCAAACTCTTTAAACATGAGAGATTATAAATATTAGAAGATGGTATTTAGAGATGTTGGTATATTTTATAGCAATTAGACTGACAAAAGTTAGAAAACTAGATAATTCCAGTGTTGGTGGGCAGACAGAGGAACAGGAATCCTCTGTTCCTGAGAATATCAACTGGTATAACCATTCTGAACCATCCAGAAATACTTAGCAAAGTAAGACTACAAATACCCTGTGACTTAACCTTTCTGCTGCTAAGTATATAACTAAACAAGTTTTTAGACAGTGGTTTTTGTTTGTTTGTTTGTTTTTGAGTTGGAATCTCACTCTGTCGCCAAGACTGACGTGCAGTGGCACGCTCATGGCCATCACAGCCTCGACCTGTTGGGCTCAGGTGATCCTTCCACCTCAGCCTTCCAAATATAGCTGGAACTACAGGCATGCACCATCATGCCCAGCTAATTTTTCTTGATTTATTGTAGAAATGAGGTCTTGCCAAGTTGCCCAGGCTGTCTTGAACCCATGGGTTCAGGCAATTCTCTCACTTCGGCCTCCCAAAGTGCTGTGATTATAGGCATGAGCCACCATGCCTGGCCAATAGCTGTTTATTTTATTTTATTTTTTTTGAGTCAGAGTCTCACTCTGTCACCCAGACTGGAGTGCAGTGGTACCCTCACGGCTACTGCAGATTTGACCTGCTGGGCTCAGGAGATTCTTCTGCCTCAGCCTTCTAAGTAGCTGGAACTACCAGAGCATACCACCACACCCAGCAAATTTTTTTATTTAATATAGAGACAAGGTCTCGCCAAGTTGCTCAGGTTGGTCTTGAACCCTTGGGCTCAGGTAATCCTCTAGCCTCTGCTTCCCAAAGTGCTGGGATTATAGGTGTGAACCACCATGCCTAGCCTAGATAGCTGTTTAAAAACATATAGCCTGGGCAGCGAGACCTCATCTCTACAATAAATCAAAAAATCAGCCGGGCATGGTAGCGCATGCCTGTAATTCTGGCTACTTGGAAGGCTGAGGGGGAAGGATCACCGGAGCCCAGCAAGTCGGGGCTGCGGTGGCCGGGAGCGGCCACTACACTCCAGTCTGGGCGACAGAGTGAGACTCCAACTCAAAAAAAAAAAAAAAAAAAAAAAAATATATATATATACACACACACATCAATGTTTACAGAAACATTATGCACAATAGCCAAAAGGTAGAGAAAAATTAAATGTCCATCAACAGATGAATGGATAAATAAAATGTGGTATATACACATACACATATATATAATGGAATATTATTCAGCCTTTGAAAAGAAGAAAATTCTGATACATGCTAAAACACGAATGAGCCTTGAAAGCATCATACTAAGTAAAATAAGCCAGATACAAAAGTACAAGTATTATGATTCCACTAAGATGAGGCACCTAAAACAGTCAATTCATAGAGAAAGAAAGTAGAACAGAGGTCACCAGGGGCTGAGGGGAGGAGAGAATGAAGAGTTACATTTAATGGGTCTAGAATTGCTGTTTAGAGCGATGAAAAGTTCTGGAAATGGATAGTGATGATAGTTGCACAAATCTGTGACTATCCTTAATGCCACTGAATTATACACTTGCAAATGGTTAAAATAATAAATTTTGTGTTACGTACATTTTATCATAATAAACAAATAGAGGGATGTTCACTGCAGCATTATGTGAAGTGGGGAGAATTGAAAGCAGCCTGCATGTTCATACCTTGGAGAACAAATAGGGTGAAATGGATAGTTGAAACCTATTCTTGGGGGGCGGGGAGGAACTGCACTTGATGAGATTTGCAGCTTTGCAGCTTTTTGTCCAAGGACACCCACAATCCACATGGCGTGCGTGGGCAGCAGAAAACCACAGCCTTACTGGGTAGAGGTGTCAAAAGACAGAGTTTGAGGCAGTCAGAGAAGCCAGAGAGATAGGGCATACATTGTGAAAGGGGGAAATTCTCTTGTGTGCAGTTTGGCTGACGGATGAACTACACATGCTGGGAATGGGGCAGTAGAGGATCCCAGGGGACCCAATAAAAAAATAGCACTGGAGGCTGAAAAAACATAACTACATGAGATTTCAATTGCTGCTGACCACAGTATATTTAGAATTTGAAGATAATGGATTGCCCACATGAAAATTACTCTTTGTGCGCCTATGTTCCCAGTTACTTGGAAGGCTGAGGCAGAAGGATTGCCTGAGCCCAGCAGGTTGAGGCTGCGGTAGCAATGAGTGTGCCACTGCACTGCAGCCTGGGCAACAGAGTGAGACTCTGACTCAAAAAAACAAAAATAACAACAACAGCAAAAAAAAACCCACGAAAATTACTCTTTAGAGGAACAAATAGAATTCAGAGATCCTACAATGAATCACTGCATCACACATAATTCACAATGTCTAGCATCCAATATAAAACCACTAGATATGTCAAAAACCCAAAACAAAAACAGAAAAATGTAATCCACATTCAAGAGAAGTAGTCAACAGAAACTGACTCTGCGATGACCCAAATGTTGGTCCATTAGCAGACAAGGACTTTAAAGCAGGCATTAAAAATATGGCCAAGGAATTAAAGGAAGACAAGCACGAGAAATTTAAAAAGTTGGAAATCTCAGCAGAGAAACGGAAACTATAATAAAGAACTGAGTTGTACTTCCAGAGTTCCTAGGTACAATAATTGAAATAAAAAATTAACTGAATGGGCTAAATGGCAAATAAAAGAGTTAGTGAGTTTGAAGATAGAGCAATAGAGATGATTCTCTTCTGAAAACAAGATTGAAAAAAAAGTAGAACCTAAGAAATCTGTAAGATAATGTTATGTGATTTGGCATATATGTTGTTGAAGGTCCAGGAGAAGAAAAACAAAATAAGACAGAAAAAATTTTTGAATAATGGCCATAAACATCTCAAATTTGGTGAAGGACCTCAACTTACAAAACCAACAAGCTCAAGAGTCTTAAATAAGATAAACACAAATAAAACCACACCCAAACACATCATAGTCAAATTGCTGATATATAAAGATAAGGAGATCAGCAAGAGAAAAATGACATCTTATATGTACGGAACAAAGTGATTAATATAGTTGACTACTCATTTAAAAAAGAAGACCAGAAGATAATGAAATACCATCTTTTTTTTTTGAGTCAGAGTCTCTCTCTGTTGCCCAGGCTGGAGTATATTGGCATGCACACAGCCACCATGCCCAGCTAATTTTTTGATTTATTGTAGAGATGAGGGCTCTCGACCCGATGGGCTCAGGTGATCCTTCCACCTCAGCCTTCCAAGTAGCTGGAGCCATAGGCATGCACCAGCATGCCCAGCTAATTTTTTGATTTATTGTAGAGACGAGGTCTCGCCATGTTGCTCAGGCTGGTCTCGGACTTCTGAGGTCAGGCACTCCTCTTGCCTCTGCCTCCCAAAGAAACAAATCCCTAGAACAATCACTAAAAAAAAAAATCAGAAAGTAATAACTAAAAAGGCAATAGTGGAATTAAGACTAACAAATAATCAATATTTAATTAACCCAAAAGAAGGCAGAAAAGGAAGAATACAAAAAAAGGTCAAAAATAGAAGAGATGAATAGAAAACAAATAAAATTCCATCCCTAAAAAGTCAATTAAGCCGAACTCGGTGGCTCAGCCTGTAATCCCACGCCTTGGGAGGCTGAGGTGAGTGGATTGCCTGAGCCCACGGGTTCGAGACCCGCCTGGGCAACTTGGGGACACCTCATCTCTACAATAAATCAAAAAAGTAGCCAGGCGTGGTAGCGCACACCTGTAGTTCCAGCTACTAGGAAGGCTGAGGCAGAAGGATTACCAGAGCCCAGCAGGTCGAGGCTGCAGTGGCCGGGAGCGTGCCACTGCACTCCAGTCTGGGCAACAGAGTGAGACTCCAACTCAAAAAAATAAAAATAAAAATAGTTAATTAAATTAATAATAATATTAAATGAAAATGGAGTAAACATTCCAATTAAAGGGCAGAAGTGTCACACTGTACAAGAAAGCAAGACCTTGGGATGTTCACTGCAGCATTATGTGAAGTGAGGAGAACTGAAGACAGCCTGCATGTCTTGAAGAATGGACAGAGTGAAACAGGTAGTTGAAACCTATTCTTGGGAAAAAAGGAACTGTTCTTGATGAGATTTACAGCTTGCAGCTTTTTGTCCAAGGATAC